GGTATTCATAAACATTCGCATAGTCAAAGCTGTTGTGCATAATCTATTGTAAATACACTTTTATTTTTGCATCAATTCTCTAAACAATTCATCTGTGAACATTTTGATACCATTTTTATAATTATAACCCAACAAATAATTTGGAAAACTAAATGATTGTAAAAATTTTTAGCATCACTGAGTGGTCCATAAACAGCACGGGGAAGCCCTCAAACTTTACAGTCGAGAACACATGGAGAGGCCGGACAACAAAGCGTTACTGGGCACACATCTTGACGCAAGTCAACTGGAATAAACATTTTTGTTTCCATATTATTAGTTTACATGATCCCCCTATTAATATCTATTTACAACTGCTGTTTACTAGAAAATATAACAACATACCAATGGGCTCCAACTAACAGTGCGCCATTATACGAGTTAGAAAAATATAATGGTTATTACTACCTAGTTTCTCATACATGAGTAGCGAAAACATTACCTGCAATGTTACATAACTAAGCAAATCGTATGTTTATGACGTGTTATGTGACTGACATTCTACCCACGTTTTGCTCTAATTAGATGTCAATTGCACTCTTCTAAACAAAGGTAACATTTGATTTCCTTTACATTTGAATATAATTGTGAAGTGAATAATTGTATTATATGTGATAAATCAATCAATCCATATTTGTGACTGGGTTACTGTCCAGACCAATAATGTCCTAAAAAATTTTCAAAGATTTCAAATGTATTAAAAGCCCAATCTATATAGAACTTAAAAAGGGTATTTAGCTCAATGTAAGTACATTAATTACCATGATTGCAATGCACTCCCTTACTATTACTTAAATAAATGGATACAACAGAGAATTAGAAGGCTGCACGATGTAAGAGAATACAGGTATGTTACCATCTAAAGAAGGTGCTCTGGGATACCACCATGTATGTGGACCCTTTGCCTCCGAAAAGTGAACATACATAATTAAATGCCGTCTAGGTTTAGTTTTCAATGTAGATAATAGTGTTAAAAAGCTTGACGAAGATACAGTATTTTGTAATGGAGTCCGAAGTCCTTGTTTGAAATCCTGCAGTTGTTAATAAGAGAGAGCTTCCCTATTGAAATAATACTTTTACTATACATACGTTATGAGTTATGAAAAAAAATTATGGAGCATTGTAAAACTAATGAAACAGTCTAGAAAATGTGTTGACTAAGTGATAAGTAATCACAATGAACTTAAAAAGTTGCTGACATCAGATCAGATAGATGAACAATTGGAGTGCAATAATGTAGAAATTTGATTTATCATCTGATAATGTTTAAGATTTACTTTTTTAACAAGGGAAGTGTCAAGGAGTAAATAAACCAGAGGGTTCTAGGAGTACAGTTCATAGTTTGGATTACAAGTGCAGAATGCCTGGTAAGTTTAAGTAAGTAATTATCAAAAGAAGGCACCAAACCGGGAAGGCTATGTAGCACCATCAAATGTGCAGAATAATCAGAGGGCTGGTAAGATTAGCTGATAAGCTTTCATGCAATTTCCATATGTAAAATTATTAAAATTTTCAATTGTCATTTGAGTACATTTATTCTCTTATGTAAATGAACTAAGCATAAACAAACATGGAAAATAAACAAGTATATTAAGACACAGTGTGACACAGCCCTGGCAGTACATGGAGTGGTTCTTCAGTTAACTTGGCCAGGTTAACTGCCATAGGTCCACCTGAATGCTGCATGCAACCTCAACCTGTGGAGTCTAACTTTGTAGTGGTACAAGCAAAATCATTCAAACTTTAATTTCGTCATGGAGTCGCATTAATTAGTAACATTTGACTCTACTTCCTTTGACTAATTTAAGGCTGCTTGTTCATTTCAACACACACTAAGCTATACGTACAGTATTGGTGACAAGCTACGCCCTGCAAAGTCACGACGTACTACCCTTCCGAACACTGCTACGTGAAGCGTGGAACAAAGTCAGACGTATTACCCTTCCGAACACTCCCTTCTTGAAACTTGGTACACTTCTTGAAATCTTAAAATTACTGGTACAGCAAAATATTGAATTTTGCCTGCTAAATCAATTCGTAAGCAAGCAATGTCATCTGCATCGGACACCAGAAAAATGAATAATTTGTAGATTAGTTAGCAGTAACAATAATTATATAAATGAATTAATAGTATACTCTCTACTGGCCCATGTAAGAGCTCTATTATTTTCAAATACCAGATAGTCAAATATGCACAGTTACCTTATCTACCTGCATTCTTTAGCTTCCTGTTAATATGATGTACAATATCACTTTCAACTGCACCACTGTGTATGAAGTCTGACAATGCAGACCGTAAACCTTCATCACAGCACATGCAAGGATGACAAAGCCAAGAAACCTACCTTGCAAGCAAGGCTGCATAAGTTAGTATTCACCACTATACCTCATCTTAAATGTACAGCAAGACAAATTAACAAAAGTCTTTTCATGTCATAAATTTAAAATTAGCAAATTAAAATTTAACAAATAGAAAGATAAACACTGAAAGTCAGCATCTTGACAAGGGGTATATGAGACATTACACTATTACAGATGACAATATTATTTCAGCATCTCTGACATCATCTCTGCTAAAATGAAATCATTTTCCCTCATTATGAATTCACCCACCAATATTATTTTCACTACAGAAAAAAGATACTTAAATACAGAGAGCAAACTTTTGATTCAAAATTCTAATTCAAAATGTTTATTCAGGTAAAAAGTACATACATAGAAGATTGAGTTACAAACATAATGTTGGATAATGTTGATCAGATACTACTGAGTTGTATGACATCAGAACACAGCTGACCACTTGAGAACATGCAAATAGATAAATACAAAAAAAAAAAAAAAAATTACTCCATTCCATCAAAATGCGAGGGGCCTGATCTTTCATAGCAGGTAATCATTCTACTATTCATGTGCCCATGTTTCCAGTCATTCACAGCTTGCATCATTCACAATACACTAATGTTAGCGCTCTGTAAATATTATTTTATTTGCCAGTAGCTCCTAATTTGCCTCCAATAACATTGCTTGTACACTCTAAAGGAAGAATATATAGCAATGTTATTAAAAAAAGAGCAAGCAGCTTGGTACAAATTGCTCAATACAAATGTATAGAGAAAAAGACATCATGAAAATTAGGAAATAATATGCATAAGAAAATAAGATAAAAAGTCAGGGTTTAAAGTCAGAGAGAGTCACAAGTTACCAGACACTAAAAGAAGTCACTCATGTTCACATGAGACGAAACATTATATTTATTGCAAAAGTTATAGTATGAATCAAGAGAGGAGACTTTGTTCTATAAAATGTCAACTGGAAGGGAGATATCATCATCTCCACATGCAATACCCATGGAGATATTAAAAAAAAAAATAAAAAAAATTGTTGAACAATCTTGACACCTCAGTACTGGTATCCAAATGGCGAGATATATCCCTCATTCGTAAGAGATTGACTACTATAACCAACTATATTACGATCTATATTATACCACTTTATATAATAATAATAATAATAATAATAATTCATTGTGTCGGGGGGACAGGAAGCCAGAGTATTCATTTACATTATGCTTTTATCAAGGTCCCCCTTCCCAAGGTCGAATTACTGACCCCACCCAGGATGCAACCCCCACAAGATGACTAACTCATGAGTATCTATCTACTGTTAGGTTAACATGTGCATTAGGTGAAAGGAAATGTGCCCAACCATTTCTGTCCCGCCCAGGCTTCAAACCCAGAATTCTCAATTATGCATCGAGAACGAACACGACTACTACTGGGACCCGCTGTCCCGATAGTATGGGCCCACAATATTGTGATAGATAACACTCCTAGAATAACATACCTAGTTCTAGCTATTCAGCCACTTGGGTATCCAGAAATTAGCTTCCTGGGTTATTATACACTGGCACCAGGTAACACAATGTTCGGCGATGGATTTCTCGGGGAAAATTGAGCATTAAGATGATATTATTGTACATTGTAGCAAAGTATGTCATATTGTTTGGTAAATTTTTCCCCTTCCCCATGGATCTGGAGACTAGTGGTCAGACACTCATGTTCAAAGATGAACACAAGTGTCTCACTTTAACCACTGCACTGTGCCAAACAACAAATGTCGTTTTGAGAGTTGTGCATTTTTTTTTTTTACTTGGACTATATTTTAATGTTTTTTAATGTTTTCATCACTCTTTGTGTTTAGACATGAAAATAGTTGAGTTTGGAAACATTTTGACATTAACTTTACCTGACCATTTATAAAAACAACAAAAATATGTCCTTAACAATTGCACTATGAAGTTTTTGCCAAAAACAGGCGCGCAGTGCAGGGGTTAAGAAAAGTGACACCTAGGGAATCACAGATTGGTAAGGCTTGATATCAATATGCCAGATACTACCGTGTTTTGCATGCGTCATGTAACTTTCAACTAATTTGGAGATACTTGAATTTTGTTCCCAAACACTAAAAGTGGGGCCAATTTTGTACCAGTGTCCAAACATTATTTATTTTCCATTATCCACCTTTCTAGGTGTAACTATATCATCCTACAATTTAAGGATTGTACATCATCCTGAAAAAAAGATACTGAATAAAATAAAATATAATTATTTTTACCGTAACAATTAAATGAAGGACAGTATCATTTTTATGAGACCCATTAACTGATTCATGGAAAAATTAATATTACTGTATAATGCAATACTTATTCTAACACAGTTCATGCTTTAAAATGCTTTTAAGAGCACATTACAAGAGTTCCTGGCATTGTTCGTGGCATTGTTCTATGCAGGTGTTCACTATAGGTCTTTTTTGCCACCGACATCGGGTAACCACAACTGTCCAGAGAAGTCCGACTTTACCCTAAAAAAGTAATCCTAGGGTGGAATAATACTTAATAAATGTAAGGCAGTAAACAAGCCAAAATTTAGTACGGATTAATAATAGAGAAAAGAAAAGGATACGGTCAGCACCAGGGAACAGCGTTCTCCCTGTTAGAAGCTCTGCCATGATGCATCCCACCGACCATATGTCAACTGAAAAGTAGAAAACAGTTAAAAGTTTGCTCCTTGTATTATCTACAGGCATGTTTCAAGGAAGTTAACTTTACAATTACTTTTGACTCTCTTTTACCTGTATTGGTAATAAAGGGAGCTTTATTGGTAAACAAAGGGTGCTTGCTAATAAACATTGCCTAGCCTTGCAACAGTGTGATAAGCCGAACATTAATTCAATATCTCACACGCTAACACAAAACTGAATGATTCTTTTGGAAAATATATATATACACCAGTCAATCACTTTTATTCAGCACAAATAAACTACTGTATTATTGAACAAAATGCAGCACATGATGGTCCAAGACCAAATCAGCAATCCAATAAAATCCGAACATTCCATACAAAATAATGGATCAGTTAATTCAATATACCTGTCTGATTGTAGTGCATCCAATTAAGCATTATCTCTGGTGCACGGTACCACCTGGTTGCTACGTAACCCGTCATCTCAGACTCGGTTGGTCTTGCCAAACCAAAGTCTAAAATTTTCAATTCACAATCCTCATTTACAGCTATATTGCTTGGCTTCAAGTCCTGAAAAGAATAGTCATTAGTGCAATTTTCATATTTCTGGCAGGATATGAAACTTCTCCTATGTCTAAATGTATCTGACTGAAAGTCTTTGGGTTAAGCTCAAATTAAAAAGAAATATAGACAAAAGTAGATATGTTTGGAAGAGCATGAGGTAAGATAATTATCTGGATAAAATTGTAACCCAGAATTATTATACAGCTTTTGAAAGGGATATGAGGACAAGAAACCAAGACAGGATGGAAGGAACAAACAGTACCCAATTATTTTGACTGTGAGTGCATGAATTTTATTGAGAAAGGTAGCAATGGGCAGCTGTATCTCAGAATACAAACAAGGTAGAGCAATAATTGCATGGGAGACAATGATAATAGGGTGTTGCGGTGAGCACAGTGTTGTACTGTATGCTAAACGCTCTCATTTTCAATTTGTTTTTAGAGCAATACAATGATCGTTTTCCTTTGAACATGTTCTGCCAGTATTTTTCACATCCACTCTCCAATTAATACCTTCTTGAATTATAGTGTTGTACCTGCACTGCATACAGTCGTCATCGCTGTGAACCCAACACTAATTCAGCAGGTATTCACTATAATGCACTATGTGCAACCCGTTCTCGCAAATTCGTAAAGTCAATATTGACTTATTAACTACGTGCATAGGTGATATACTAAACATAATAGATACCCTTAAAAAGATTCATAGAAAACGCCGACCTTACCTAACCTTGTTAGTATCTTAAGATAAGCATCTTATTGCTTCGTAATTACAATTATTACTTAACCTGTACCTATTATAGGTTAGGTAATAATTGTAATTACGAAGCAATAAGATGCTTATCTTAACATACTAAGTAGGTTAGGTAAGGTCGGTGTTTTCTATGAAGCTTTTTAAGGGTATCTATTATGTTAAGTATGTCACCTATGCACATATTTAATAAGTCAATATTGACTTATTAAATTTGCGAGAACGGGTTGCTATGTGTTAGATTCACAGCGACGACGGCCGTATTGGCAGTGGTGGTGGTGACAGTGGTTGTGGTGGATAATGCTGTAGAGGATTGTAACAATGATTGTGGTTGCGGCAGTCATATTTATAGTGGTGGCAGTTGTGATACATTTGGTGATGGTTAAGATTGTAGTAGTGACTTTAATGGTGATTGTGGTGACTTTGGTGGCTGTGGTAGCTGTAGTATTAGCTGTGGTAGCATTTGTTTGTGATTGTGGGTATTGTGGTTGTGGTGGTTGTTGCAGTTGTAATGATTACATTGTGGTGGTTATGATACAGGTGTCAAATTACCTTGCAGTGATAGTGTGATTGTGGTAGTGGTTACCACAAGATTGAGGTGGTGGTAGTTGTGTAAGTTTTGGCTTTTGTGGTAGTGGTTAATTTTTTGTGACTGTGATGTTTATTGTAATAGACTTGGTTAAGGAAGCAGTTGTGGTTATAGTGGCTGTGGTGTTTGTGTTGAAGTGGTGCATGTGTTCGTAGGAGCTGTGGTAGTGCTTGTGGGGTGCATCGTGTCAGTTGTTTGTAGGGTAGTTTTAGTGTATGTGATGGTGTTTGGTGTATATTATGATGATTGGCGCAAGTTATAACACTGTATATGTATATTATGGGGTTCAGTGTAGTGGTTATGGTGTTTATAGTCACTGTGGTGGTGATGGCGGGTGTCTGTAGTCATGTTGGGTGGCTGAAAAATCACAAGCAATTCCTACCCAGGACACAAGCACACATTTATGCAAACCCAATAAAAACAATTTCCTCAAAAGCTCTCAAGTTACATATAATAATAATCAAGACGAAAACTTTCATGAGACAACAGTAACCAGGAGAGACTCACCCTGTGAATAATACCTGCCGAATGAATGTACTTGAGGCCGCGAAGAACTTGGTATATAAGAAATTGAACATGGTCATCGGTAAGTTTCTGTGTTTTGACGATATTGTTGAGGTCAGCTCCCATTAAAGATGTTACTAAGTATCTGAAAAAAAATAGAAGAAAAGTAAATCGCTGTATAAACAATCCTCATCTAGATAGTTTTCTTGAAGTGCTGGACCAACCGGGCTGTGGTGGATATGTGGGCCTGTGGGCTGCTCTAAACAACAGCCTGTTGGACCAAGCTGTTTCAAGGCAAGTAATGTACACAGTTCGTGTAGTAACACTTCAGAAAGTGTCAATACTAACGTTCGTGTCACTTCATTCTCGTCCCCGCACTTCATCGTACGTGTGCTTGTGTAATTATCTATGTGCAGTTACAGGGTGAGAGTTATGCTCATGGTGTCAGTTACAGGGTGAGAGTTATGCTCATGGTGTCAGTTACAGGGCGAGAGTTACGCTCATGGTGTCAGTTACAGGATGAGAGTTATGCTCATGGTGTCAGTTACAGGATGAGAGTTATGCTCATGGTATCAGTTACAGGATGAGAGTTATGCTCATGGTGTCAGTTACAGGATGAGAGTTATGCTCATGGGAGCATAACCTGATGACGCTAGAAAGGAGTAGTGGGGAGACATGATAGAGGGATATAAAATACTTTGGGGACATGACAATACTGCCTTTAGTAACTTGTGTAAGGAATCGTTCAGGACCTTGTATGCCACTTATGTAAGACCAATCCTGGAGTATGCAGCTTCAGCCTAGAGTCCATACGTAGTTAAACACAACACGAAGTTAGGGAAGATTCAGAGGTATGCCACCAGACTAGTCCCAGAACTGAGAGGTATGAGCTACGAGTAAAGGCTAAGTGAGCTGAACCTCACATTCCTGGAAAATAGAAGAGTAAGGGGAGACATAACCACCTACAAAATTTTCAGGGGAATTGACAGGGTGGACAAAGACAAACTCTTTAGCACAGGTGGAACATGAACAAGGGGACACAGGTGGAAAGTTAGTACCCAAATAAGCTGCAAAGATATTAGAAAGAATTTTTTCAGTGTCAGAGTAGTTAACAAATGGAATGTATTAAGTAGTGATGTGGTGGAGGCAGACTCCATACACAGTTTTAAATGAAGATTTCATACAGCCCAGTAGGCTCAGGAATCTGTACACCAATTGATTGACAGTTGAGAGGCGGGACCAAAGAGCCAGAGCTCAACCCCCGCAAGCACAACTAGGTGAGTACAGTGGAAAATGAGGAAAAGTTCACAATGAACACCAATACAAGAGGGCATGGCAGGAAGCTCGAGACTCAAATGATTCATAGAGATGCTAGGAAATTTTATTTTTAGCTTCAGAGTAGTTGGAAAAATGGCATGAACTAAATGTTGTAGAAACAAACTCCATTCATAAATGTAAAAGTAGATTTGACAGGGAAATAGGCCAGGAGTCATTGCATAAAACAACTGGAGGCTAGAAAGGCAGGGTCCAAGAGCTAGTGCTCGATCCTGCAAGCACAAATAGGTGAATGCACACTGAGAGCCAGCCTACACCTGTCTACAACCCCCCCCCCCAACCCCCACCTTCCCCGGGGGCAACCTGCGGACACAAATAGAAGAATCAATACCAGGAAACCAAAGTGCGTAAATAAATTACGGTTTACCCCTGATGCTCTTGATTCAGAAGGGAACCACCTTCTTCACCCCCCCCCCCCACCTCCACTTCACAGGCTTCCCCACCATTCCGCCCCCCCCCCTCACTACTCCGGGCCCCTCCCCCCACTCAGCCAGAACACCCCCTAAGTCAGCCGGGAACTCCCCCCTCCCCTCCACTAGCCAGCCCACACCTAATAATAATAATAATAATAATAATAATAATAATAATATTTTATTTAGTTAAAGTACATACATAGATGCAGTTACAAACATTCTGATTGATTTATTGATAGAGCTAGCACATACAATACCTAAAGCCACTAGTACGCATAGCGTTTCGGGCACAGAACTCCACCGAAAGTGTGGCACACAGGCCTAAAATATAAGATATCTGAGCTAGGACTTTCCGAGAGATTTACTGCTACTCTCTGCACTTCATAGACAACAGAACTACTTGGCTTAATATCGACAGCTACTTGGGTGACGTAATAGAACTGAAAAGTGGAGTACCACAAGGAAGCTGCCTTTCCCCCACTCTATTCAACATATATATATACAGCTGACCTACCCCAACCCCAACATGGAGAATACATTCACATACACTGACGATGTCACCCAAATAATATGCCAACCGGGACCATCAAAGCCGCTACTAGCCGACAAGACCAAGGCAGCAATTGAACTCGTAAACAACTTTGAGAAGCAATGGAAAATTAGCACTAACAAACAAAAGTTTCAAATAATACACATTGCGAAAAGAAACCCGGACCCATCATCCTTGACAACCATCCGATCCAATATGCGGAGGTAGGCAGAATACTGGAACTCATGATAAATAGAACAGGGGATACAAATTCATGTAAGGGACCGACTAAACAAAGCCAAAGCGGCCTTAGGAAAATTGAGGAGATTCCAAAGCCTCAGTACAAACATTCAGATCCACCTATATAACAGTCGGCAACTAAGAGCATGCACACAGCTGACGATTAACAATATGGCGTAGTGTTAAAGCAATGTACACTTCCGGTAAAGAATGTCCGGTGTGACCGAAATTTACGTTATGAATCACGAGGCTAGAATCACATATCACGGAGGTAGTGTCTGCCTGTTCCTGCTATGTACCTGTTGTTGGTTCCGGGGATCAACGTCCCCGTGGCCCGGGTCTCTGACCAGTCAACCAGGCTGTTAGACGCCGCTGCTGGTAGTCTGACGTATAAATCACAGCCCGGTTCATCAGGTATCCTTTGGAGGTATTTATCAAGTTCTCTCCTGATCATCGTGAGGTCGGCTAGTTAAAGCCATTATGTTTAGAGGGAGTGTTGAAAAGTCTTGGCTATTTCCACTTTTTTTTTACATCAGTTTGGAGGTATTCTGTATCATTTGCAGATAACGCTAGGATTTTCATAAGAATAGACAATATAGAGGACGCAGCAAACCTCCAATCTGACAGGCCAAAGAAAATAACATGTTAAATGAGGATAAGTTCCAGCTACTGCGCTATAGAAAAAATTAAAATACCAAAACGGGAACCACATAGACCGCAGTCAAACTACACTATTGAACGAAAATGCAATACAAGAGATTTGGATATAATCAAGTCGGAAGACCTTACTTTCAAAGAACAATAAAGTAGTTGTCACAACTGCAAGGAAAATGACAGGTTGGATAAGAAGAACCTTTCACGCCATACCAACGATGATGGTATGGGATGACTAGTGCTCTCTAAAGTGGAATATTGTTGCATACTAACAGCCCCATTCAAGGCTTGTGAAATTGCAGACCTCGAGAATGTGCAAAGGTGTTGACCAGACCACACACTAGAAGGTGAAGGGACGACGACGTTTCGGTCCGTCCTGGACTATTCTCAAGTCGATTGTGAGAATGGTCCAGGAACGGACCGAAAAGCCGTCGTCCTTTCACCTTCTAGTGTGTGGTCTGGTCAACATACTTCAGCCACGTTATATTGATTCCTCGCCTGCATGTGTAAAGATCATTTAGTGCTAGAATCCACTCAATAAGCCATCTTAATTATTGGGATCGCTTAACAAATCTAAATCTGTATTCCTAGAGCGCAAGCGGGAGAGATACATAATAATTTACAATTGAAAAATACTACGATGACTGGTTCTAAATCTGTCGACAGAAATAGCACCACACGAGACCAGGAGGCATGGAAGGTTGTGCAAAATTGCCCCGTTGAAAAGTGGAGGTGCAACAGGTACACTAAGAGAGAACTCTATCACCATTAATTAACAGGCCAATACTTTTAAACACTCTCCCCTCTACACATAAGAGAGAACACAAGACCTCTCGCAGCACTCAAAAAGAGAACTTGATAAACAACTTCAGAGGGAACACCATTAACCAGGCTATCAAACGTCAGACTGAGCAGCTGACCACACCACCATCAATCAGGATAACTGGTCAGAGACCGGGCCGCGGGGACCTTAATCTTCTGAATCATAGAAAAGTAAACGAAAGGTAAGGTACAAGGAAGTGGGGTGTATAGTGAAGAGGGTGAGTATATGAAAGCAGAAGATGGGTATATGAAGGGAGGAGGTGGAATAGAGAATTAAGGTGTGGCTGAAGGATGACAACAAAGGGGCCTAGTGGCTGAGTGGATTGCACCGGGGGTCGTAGTCATAATGGCCAGGGTTCGATTCCGGCGGAGATGGAAACAAATGGACAAAGTTTCATTCACCCTAGTCCCCCCTGTTCACCTAGCAGTAAATAGGTACCTGGGAGTTAGACAGCTGCTACGGGCCGCTTCCTGGGGTTGTGTGCGCGCGTGTGTGTGTTTTAGAGAGAAATATAATAGAGGAAAACTAGATTAGTTAGAAAGCCGCTCCAAGCAACAGCCTAGTGGACCAAACTCTCACAAGTCAAGCTTGGCCTCGGGCCGGGCTTGGAGAGTAGAAGAACTCCCAGAACCCCATCAACCAGATATCAACCAGGTAAAGGCGGAGTCCAAGAGCTAATAGTTGGATTCTGCAGGGCCAAATAGTAAACAGTACTTGAGTGAGGGAGTGGGGGTGAGTGGCGCCACGCTGGCCGTCAGTCTCCACCAGACGCCACAACCACCACCAAAATATCACCCTACACGTGCCTGCTTGCCTCGCTCTCGGTAACACCGCCCCCACCACCACCACCACCCAGTGTTCCAGTCTGCTGCACCAGGCTTGGCGCATCACAGCATCTGCTACGACACAGCTGCTTGGCGCATCACAGCATCTGCTACGACACAGCTGCTTGGTGGTCTGCCTCCTAATTCTAGAATTAGTAAGACAATGCTGACAAGTCTGCAAATCAATAAGCCTATAGTACGTGCCCAATAATGTTTTATTTTATATTTCAATGAACCCAAACAAAATACTTGTTTGTCATCGTATGGGTGGTAGTGGTGGTTAAGTAAAAGCGTGATGGATATATTTATATGTGCGCGTGTTTGTCT